CCTAGATTTCGGGGTTTGGCGCTGAGTTTCGGCGCGGCCGCGGTCCTCGGTGGAGCGGGGCAGACCTGGCGATGCGGGCGGTTACCCATCTTCACTGTCAGGTTAAAAAATAAGTTTTAGGTTCACGTTATGATCTATTTATAGAGCTATAAAAGAAGGGGGTGGAAAAAAAAACCCCAAACAAGCGACTTTTATTCAGATACGGATGTTGCATTCCAGTAATCCTCTCAGTCCCGAAGGGATCTGGTTGGCAAACACTGAAACGAGGAAAAGCCAGCGTTTGTGCTTCAGTACAGCAAATGCCTGTGTTCCGCTCTCATGTATTACTTGCGTTGGCTTGTCATTTGGTTGTTGGTTTGGATTTTTTTTGCTTCCTTAGGATAATTTATTTCTCGAGTTTTGGAGTGTGTGTGGTGATTTTTTGTCTGATCCTAAGAGTTGGACAGAATACGGATAACTTCTGCGTTCTCTTTCCTTTTTCATTGTTCAGTATGATCTCCTTCCTATTTTCCAGTGGAAAGTAACCTGGAATTTCAAAGTACTCGTGGAGTACTTGGTCTTTTAAGTTGCTGTATTATTATGACCCAAGGAATGATTTCTTCCACTTCTCATTGTGTCTCTGTGTGCTGAGCTGCGCATCTGCCAGCCGCTGCTCCTAGGTTGTGGTCACCGATCGCTGTTGAAAGGTCGCTGCAGTCTCGCGCTTTTCATCAGTGTTCAAACCTGTTGGCGCTGATGCCGTGTTTATAGGTCTGTAGTTGTTGAGCTGTTTTGGTCAGGGTTTCTGGTAATTTACTTAGATTGCTTTTAGGGCTTGATTGTATTGTTTTAGCTTGCGTAGAATTGTCTGCCCTGGTCATGTGGGTTGTACTAAAACCCTGGCAATACTGAGTTATATTATTGTTGCTTTACACTTCCATTCTGTTCCTGTGGAGACAAGTGCAGACTAGTTTGATACAGAAAAACAGTGAATTTTGGGGGTTTTTATGTTGGTGAAGAGGAAGGAATATCATCATTCTGCTTATGTGGAACTTGTGGCAGAGCCAGAAGTCCAAGGCAAGACAAAGCAAACCATTCAAAGATGCTGGGGCTTTTCTGTTTGTTATTGGACTTACTGCTTGATGTTCAAGTCCGAGTTAATTGTGCAGTGTAGGCTGCAAGATTAATTAGTTTTCTAGTGCTGATTTAGATTAGCGTTTCTAAGGTTAGATTATGAAGCCAAATACTCTTTGCATTGAAAAAGTGATGGATGTTCAGAACAAGATTCCCTTCCAGATGCAGCAGAGCTGTTGCAAAAGGTGATGGCTGGAGTTGAAGGAGAAGCAGTTCACACTTTGCCCTGAAAAGCAACACTGCTTTCAAGGGAAAAATGCTCACTACTGGCCTGTCACTTTATGCTCTCTTAAATACTGAATGAACAGTCGAGGAGCCTCCTCCTAGTTAAGCCAGGACTGTTAACTTCAGATCGTTTACATGGGCTGGCCTTGAAAAATTAGTGTTTTGGTGTTTGGAAGAAGTGATGGAAGGTGGAAGTAAGTTACAGCAGTTGCAGTGGACTGCGCAGGAGCTACAAAGTCCTGATTTCAGTCCTGGCTGTAATCTAGTGTTTGATTCTGGCCTTGAGCACTTGCCCGCTGTATGAGTTTCCTTATTTGTGAAGGAGGGTGCCTGTGAGGAGATAGCAAAACAGCTTTTGCAAAGCTTCAGCATAGCGGAGTAAGAGCTAGAGTATGAAAACACGAGTTTTGTCCCTTAACTGGCTTCTAAATGTGATCAAAGAGTTTTACCGTAGTGTGACAACAGAAACGTGGGTTTAAAATGCTTGCTAAATACTTCAGGCACTTGGATGGTACAGAGTAGTAAGTGAAGTCTTGATTGACTTGCGTTGCACAAAGTGAGCAAGAATTGATCGTTCCTATGACAAACCTCCTGCTAGCTTTTAATGAATCATAGTTAATTCAAATAAGCTGCAACTAAGATTGTCTCTGTTTTACTTGCTCAGAATCCTACGCTGTCTGTGAGAATTTGGCAAGCTGTGTTGTAAAACATAGTTTCAGTTGTTTTATCTGAACCCAGCTAGAACCATGTGCAGTTATTGTATACTTACAAATTGTAATCATACCCAGTAACTGTTGTACAGTTATATCCTGTAATGATAAAAGCTGTGCCAGTGAGGTTGATTGTGATTGTGGTGACAGGATTAATCTTTTTTTTTTACCAACAGAGAATGGTCCTAGTAGCGTTTTTCAAAATGTTTAAGCTGTTTACAGTATCTAAAGGGGATGGGAAATTATGGAATCTGAAGAGTGGGGGAGGACTGCAAGGTAGGCTAACCAGCAGCTGGCGGAAAGCTGGAAGTGAGATTCAGGTGCTGTTGGTGAGTGTGGTGACAGCTGATGTTGGTAGTTCAGCACTTGCCACTTAAGCTCTGGAATAGAGGAAAAGTGTCTCTTTGTTCTCTTCCATAAATAGTTGATGCAGGAATGTTTTGATAGATGGAGATGTGTTTGCCTGAATTCTGTATGTGTCTGATGTTACTGTTCTTGTCCTGAGTTAAGATGTACAATAGCCCAGCCCCCGTGAATGTCTGGTGTAATCATAACTACGTATGCTGTTAAGAATCTGTATGACAAAAAACCCACCCAACCCTTAATGCTTTTTCAATGAGTAGAACAGACTTGGAATCAGTGACTTAAGCAATTCTGCATTTTTGTAGGGAGGCAAACAAGCAGCATGTAAGATGTCAGAAATGTTTAGAGTTTGGACATTGGACGTATGAATGTACAGGGAAGAGAAAATACCTGCACAGACCTTCGAGGACAGCGCAATTAGCAAAAATTCTTAAAGAAAAAGAGAAGCAACTGTTGCTGCAACAAAGGTAAGACTGGCAGAATGAAAATGTGTAGTTTATTAATGAAAAGGTAATTTTGTATGTGGGTGGGAAATACGGTGTCCTGGACCATTTTCTGTCCTCTCTTCTTCCAGACTGTGTGATACTTGCTTAATATCAGAGCCATTTTGTATGCTAGGTGGAATATGCACACTTCGGTCCCACAAAATTAAAATGTTGTTCATTAACACGTGCTCTTCTGAAATACACTTAAAACTTTTTTGGCCTGTGTGAAACAAAAAAGTGCACTAAGCTAAAGTTAAAATACCTGGAGCCTTTTTTGTAATGGAATACTCTTTCCTGAATTCCTTGGTTACTTGGTTTCATATTGTTTGTGCTAGTGCAAGCAGCTGGGTGTGAAGACAGTAACTGTATTTATAGCAAAGAAGCGATTTTTTCACCTCTGTTCAGGTCTGCTGTTAGACTGTGCAGTGGATCCCTGGTCTTCTGGGTATGATCTGACAGAGGATCTGTGCCAGCACAGCTCCTGTATATTGCTCATTACGAGCTATAATGGTTAAACAGGTGAAGGAGAGTTGGATTATCAGGTGTTTCTAACTCTCAAGCATAAAGTAAAACTACCTTGCTGAATTGCATAGTTAATCCCCTTTCTGATATTTGAGAAAGATACATGCAGCTAAACAGAATAAGCAAAATTCTGCATTTGTGTAATGTGATTTCCTTTCCACTTTGCTCTGTGAGTAGATGTCAGAGCTTCTCCCAAGTTTAACAGTTGTTTTAGTAACCAACTCCAGATGACAAAGAGAAGAATAATGTAGCACAGGAGTTTCCCATGAAATTCCTGTGTACTCCGTTCTGCCGTTGCAACTCAAGTTTAGTTACGGTAGCTGGAGAGTTCCTGCCTCAGCCCCACTGAGGGACGGTATCATTTACAGCCATCGCTCCCAAAAGACATACCCCCTGCTGCTGCCTCTTGCAGCTCAGTGTGTTGGCTGTAGGTCATTAGTGCTGCCAGGATGTGAGTTACAGAAGAGTGCTCACACCTTTTGCTCTCTTATCTTAATGGGGAAAGAAAATAGGTGGTAACCGCTGGGAGAGAGGTCTGGTTTGACTTCTTCAGCTGAGGCAGCAGTATGAATCAGTGCTGAAATACTGACTTCAGTGGAAGCTCATTAGCTTGTGTTAAGAGTGACATAAGAAGTTTGATTTTGAAGTTAATTTCAATCCAATGAGTAATTCTGAAGCAATTAAAAAAAAAAAAAAAACCAACTTGCTCCCATTGGAGACAGAGTTTGGAAGAGTTCTTCAGAGACTCAAGACTTTTTAAGACAAAGATTGAGTTTAAGACTGAGATTGTTTTCTTGTTCCTCTCCTGCCTGTTTCTGCTGAATTTGCAGGTTAACATTGGAGGACAGTGAATTCAGGGTGAAGTTGCTTGTTGCCTAGCCATTGTGCCTGAGTCTGTTTATGGGATAATTTTATAGAGGAGTTATAGGACTGTACAGTGTCTGTCACAAAGGGAGGTTTTTGAGCTGTAAGTTGAACAGTCCACAGCACGAGGGGTATGTGGTGTGAAAAGTCAGCTCATAAAAGGAAGACTAAGTAATCCTTAGATGGGAACGGGTTTCAGTCCTGGTTAATTAACCCAAGGCTGGATTCATGGTGGTGTTGCAATCATAACCTCGCTGAAGCTCCTTCCCTGCCATGAATCATCCAGTTCCTTAGATGCCAGTGTTACGCTTTCAGGATGGAGCTTATTTTTCATGGGAAGAAGATCTTGCTAGGTCACACTTTTCCTTTTTGTGTAGCTTGATTTGGGAGGTTATTTCTTGTCTGCAGCGAAGTTGGGTCCCTACAGGTCTGCTTCAGAGTATTTGTAGCATCATCTGTAAAGATCTAATAATCATTAACCAGAAAGCAAACGTAGTCTAATAAGGTTAATATTTACTTTCTGACAACCACATACAAGATTTTTCAGCATTAATTAATTCCAGCAGTTGTTCCATGAATTAATTCCAGCAGTTGTTCCAGGATCCTTCTGTTTGCCCAGTGTTGACCCCACGGTTCTGATGGACGTTATGGAGGTTTCGCTTACTGGTGTCAGTAAAGCCCACTGCTTGCCCATCCTAGAGTAGGAGCTGGGAGGGGAGGAAAGGTGAGAAAACGCTTCTTCCTGAGCGATCTTACTGCACTGAACCAAACCCAGGATGCCTGAGCCTTGTGTATGGTTCTGAAGACAGTATAGTGCCTCAGGGAAAACGACCAAGTGTCACGGATGAGATCTGTGTGATCTGCAGGGGGCTGACCCCCCTCAGCTGTGTAGTTTACACTAGAGAGCAGTGAGCTCCTATGCTCATCCATACGTTAGACACTAGAGGGAGGCACAGACCTGTGCCATCCTCACACGCTGAGTTCAGTCCCGTCTGCTACAGGTGCTTTGGGATCTGATTCTGTTTCCTCACAGCGACGTCTTTTACCTGTGAAACACCTGGTTACCTATGGCAGGGGCACAAGGCCTTAATAATGTAAATATCAAGGGCATTCAGCACTACAGGAGCGATTATAATTTCGTTTGAAATTTGAAGATCAGCGAATCATCCTCTTGCCTACAGGAGCTTGTGGGGAGTGTGGAAAACTCTTCTGTGTCATGATAATATTTTCATATCGTATGTGTGAAAATAAAAAATTGAATAATCTAATTTTTCTGGCATACAAATGGCATTGAACACTTTGATGGAAATACAGTCTAGTTTACACTTAACGCTTTCCTTGTTCTACCCTTTTCTGGAGCCTTAACACATACTGCTGTCTAATTTCCAAATGAAGTGTATTTGCAGTTTTTACTTTTATTTCTGTGTATTTAAGATAGCTTCAAATCCCCTAGTGTTTTGTTAAAATAAACTTTTTTCTGTGTCATCTACCCCTAAAACTTTGTGAGTATATGAATACATAGGAATCTGAAAGACAAATAGCTGGAAAGTATTAATATAAATAGATTGTTCTGTGTCTTTTTGTACTTGAAAGAAATGCATGGTGAAAGCTACAGAATGCTTCAGTATTTTACCCTTTATTTCAGTCAATTCAGTTATTACTAAATATGGGAACACAGAGCTTTTTTTGCATCCTTATCTCCTCTGCTTTTCCCCTCCCAAAATGTTGTCTGTAGAGTATGGAGGAAAGAGAAAGAAGAGTAAAGCAAACTTCACGCAGAAAATTAGAGGTGAATTGCTGAATTTTTTTCTTTATTTATTTGTAGGTATTGTTGTTGTTCTGGTTTGAATAGTGACTGACAGTAGATGCCAAATGAACTTTGGGCAGTGCGGTTCTCTGCCGGTGGGATACCAGTGTTCTAATATTAAACTCAGCTCCACTGTGCTGCTATTTATTTATTTTTTTCCTACTGCATTAATCAAAGCCGTTGTTTTTCCCCCCCTTAATTAGCACTGGAGAGAGTACTGCAGAAAGGAAGACCAAGAAAAAAAGGTACGTGGGGAACGATGACAAACTGTGCGGCTGTTCCAGTGTGTGATCTTGCACTGGGTGTTGCGGCAGGCAGTTCGGAAGGGGTGTGGGGGGAAAGTCAACCTTGCAAATACGGTTTTGACTTTACTGCTTTTAGCCTGTTACGGGCATTTGTATAGCGGGCATTTGTATAGCAGGCATTTGGAGAGTTTCTACTCCTCTCTGTCCAAAAACTCTAAATTCTTTGTGCTCTGCTTTTCTCCCTGCTGATGGTCCTATTTCTACATGATCTTCTGTCTCAGAGTTCGTCCAGTGCATTTTAAACAATCGTGCAAGAACGGCACCCTGTTTTCTAGTCTGTAATCGCTCCACCTACCTACCTTGCTCTTCTTTTTGTTGTTTTCATTCGCTTCTGGTAGCAGCTGTCTCTCTGAAGCTTTGCATAGAGAGTGAAATCGAGTGTTTAGAAAAAACCCAACCCCAAAAGCAAACAAAATCCCCAGTCCCAGACCAACCCAAAATCCAGGAAGTCATCCTCCCCGTGCCTAAGTACTAATGTGAGCCAAGAACTCTTTCTCTTTTGACTCTTATTTCTGCTTCACTTTGCGTTAATGTTTGCTTGGGAATCCGCTTCTGTCTGTATTGGCAAAACCCTGTCAGGAACAGCTGGAACCCTGGCTATAATACTCCTGCTGATCGTGTCGTGAGTTTTACTTACGGGGGATGTCTCTGCAGTAACAGCCTCACTGTCTCTTTGGATTTAGTTGTCTGTTCTCTGTCTCTAAATCTTATCTTGTAAAAACAGTTCTTGGAAGATTTTTGAAGGCTAGGCCTTTTGCTTAGTGTGGCAGTTGTTAAATAAGCCACAGCAGTTTTTAAAAATGCACCTTTATTTTAGGCTGTCACGTGGAATGTGGCTTTATTGCTATGCCTGTTGGTGAGTGTCTTGGTTCTACTATCGGAATATGTTTTATCAAAGACTCCTTTCTCAGTAGTGTTCATGTATTGCTGGAGTTGCGTAGGACTAGTGAGATCATAAATTAACTGATTTCTAAACGATGTAGTTCAGACCTCTTCCTGCCTCACCTTTCTCCTATGCTGCAGTCTTCTACTCGGCATAATGATTTTCAGAGTATTTGAGCTCTAAACGAATGCAAAAATGAAGAGCAAAAGGATTTATGAGGGAGGGGGTGGTCTGGTCAGTTTTTCCTTAACATTTTAAAACTCTTCCAGGTTTGAATTACTATCCTGTTTCTATGCAGGCACCAAATCCATCAAAATAAGTTCCTTTCCAAGTATTTGCCACTTAGGTTTTTATTATGATACAGGAAGAACTAAATGTGGAAAGTTCATCAAAGGGTTACCATCAAATATACAAATTCAGGTTAAAAAAAAAATGCAAAAGTTAGGGTTCTGGCAGTAGTGAGCTCTAACCTTTTACATAGTGTATGTTTGTTTTGATATAAACAGTAGTAACTAAGCTACAGGCTTAACCAGTAAAACAGGAACAGGCAAAACAGCTATTGTACAGTCTTGTGACCTCAAGTGACACAGAGCTGTCTTCTGGGTGCATGTTGGTTTCAGTGTTCCCATACAGCACACTTTGGTTATTAATTGAAAGCTGACTCTGTGCTCGGATTGCATATAGATCTGTCTGTCTGAAGGGTGGAATCATGTCTTAATTCACTTGTTTCTTCAGGCACTTAGCTGTGATTGTGCCCAAAATGTTAGATTTGATTTGAGTAGCATGTTTAAAAGCACCTGGGGTGGCCAGATGATTGTGACAGAGAGACAAAAAGTCTCAGAGGAGGGTGACAGTGTGTGTTACAAAATGCAGCAATTGTTTCACGATTGGTGTGTGGAATCATGCAAGGTACTAACATTTCTGAGCTTGTTTTGAGAGAATTAATGCTTCTCTGCTGGAGGAATTTTGTACTTTTACAGTGGTGTAGCAGACCCAAAAATCTACCAAGCTATAGCATCTGGATTGTCACGTTAGCTAATTAGGAAAAGGTGAAGTAGGTGAATTTTACTTGCTCCCATCTCCATCCCCCTTCTGTAACCACCAACAGCCACATATTGCATCACCTGAAAACAAGTATCTGCTTGTTTCTTCTCTTGTAGATCTGGCTACTGCTTTGCTCTAGGAGCAGCAGTATGAAGTGTTCTATTCTGATGTTTCTGTGAGTGGGTTTCGGATTAGAACCTAAATGTTGGAGATCCGTGGGTGGCTTCTGTGAAAGGTGATTAGGCAAAGAAAGTTCAGTCACCCTTATGAATCAGGGGATCCTCTGACTGATTCTCCTCCATAGAAATGGGTCTGCACATCTAATGAAACTGTTTAGATTGAAACTACTAGTCCTATTGGGTTTTTTTTTCCTCATCTTAAGACTACTTTCTCACAAACAGTAAGTCTGTATTTAACCAGCCCTTATGGATTTATCTTTAATAAATAGCCATTGTGTCTGCACGCACAGAGATAACAGATTACAGATGGATTATAAAAGCTTCAGTGGTTCATAGCTTAACACATGCACCCAGATTTGTCAGCTGACATGACCATGGCTGATATAATGAAAAAACATTACTCTAATAGCCTTAACATAGGCGATACCTGAGTTGCTCTATTTAACCAAACCCTCTGATAAAAACTACTACCTTAATTTTCTAATGGAAAGAAGATTCTGCATTATATCTTTTTGCATGCTGTTTGGTTGACTTGGTGGGAGGGGAGGTGAATTAGTACCTTTGCACTTCATCTGGAGAAAGATCTATGGGAGAATTTAGTTGTACTTTCTTGGAGTTAATATTGCCTTACATAATCAGAGACCTTGGTCTGGAGAACAACTCAGCCTCAGTAAGGGCTAAACAGGAAGAAAAAATAATTGCAGAGGATACAGAAATCCGCTTTGCTATGTTCATAATTCTGTCTTTATCTTGGACTGTTTCAACCCCTTCTCCTCCACCTTGAAAACATAAGCATCCTGTAGTGGCAAGTAATTTGGGTTCTTTTGCCAGGAGTAATCTTAGAACAGTTTCCATTGAGTGCAATTCTGACATTTGTGAAATCACTGATGAAACTTCCACCAACCTTTACATTGCCAAAATTCCACTCCTTATTACAGTGGTGTGCTAGGGAACTGATCTGTGTTGATTTTTCCCCGAGGCTTTAGCAATAGAGGACATTTCATACTTCTCCTGCAGCCTCGTTCTTCTGTTTAGCCAAGTCAGTAGAGACACTCGTCATTACTATGAACAAGATCCTCGCCAGCTTCCAAACTTCACCGATGTTCTGTAGTCCTGTTTTGGCTTCCTTCATGTGTGTGGTGTCACTCTGCGGTTGCGCAAATGGCCAAAATGCATTTGTTCAGAACTGGGGGGGGAAATGGGAATTTGTCATAGATTGTCAGGCCTGGAAATTTTCAGACCAAATAATTGATCTTTGGGTGACAACACAGTACAAAGAACACTGGGTAATGAATGCTGTCTCTAGCAGGCCTGTCCTCATCTGTGTATTTGTTTTCTTTCAGATCTAAAAGTGTGACCAGTTCCAGCAGCAGTAGCAGTGCCAGTTCGGCTAGTGATTCCTCATCTGACAGTGAAGATTCTTCTACCTCTTCTTCTTCAGATGATAGCGACAGTGATGAGAGCTCCTCTACTTCCTCCTCTTCTCCATCTTCGAGTAGTACTTCCTCCTCTTCAGAGTTCGAGTCAGATTCCAGTTCCTCCAGCAGTAGCAGCAGCAGCACAGACAGTAGTTCTGATGATGAGCCACCAAAGAAAAAGAAGAAGAAATAGCGTGGTACATTGTAGAACTGTTGTTTAGTGAATGATAACATTCTTCGAAGATGTTTTGAGCACATGGTTGCCAAACAGTTTAACTGGTCAGCATTTCTACTGCTAAAACTTTCTAAATGTTTTGCATAGTTGTTCATAGGACGTGAAAGGTATTAAATGGCACGTGAGGCTTACTGAAAGACTATTTTTGTGGTTTATCCTTTTATGGAAAACTTTACTTTTTTAGTTCAAAAATCTATCATCAGATTTGTTTATATGAGCTAAGGTCCAGTAACCTGGATGTTTACATGCTGGAAAGCAAAAGCTTTTTATTGCAGATCATGCTGTGCATCATATGCTACTACTCTATGACAGCTTCACTTAGATTGGGAAAACCCTCTAAACTGTTAGAAGCAAAAGTTTTACGCTGCTGGCTGTAGAGCGCTGTCGTTGAAGTTGAATGCACAATGTTGCACACAGAGGGCCTTCCATCTCACTGTTGACAGGTGTATTATGTGCTGCTGAGCTCTTCTTCTGATGGCTTTTCCTGGTGCTTCCAGGTCGAGTCTTAACTGCAACATAGAACTCTCAATAGTGTTCATTTGTTAATGGTCGATATACGACTTGTACTGTACAGAGGCTTTAGTCTTTTCAACTCCCTGTTTCCTTAGCTCATGTGTTTGTAGGGTTTTCGGAGACACGGAATGTCTCTGGCAGCAGTGTCTGTGAGAGAAAGAGGAGCACTGCACAGTGGAAGAATTGTGGCTGATGCTGCTTAGGGGTTTCATCTTTGTGCCTTTTTTTGTAAACTAAACGTATCCTAGTGAGAGAAGGGCTTGACTGGGTGTTTTTCAGAACATTTCCATTAGCTTGCCATACAGAGTATGGTCAGTAAAACCAGAGAAATAGTAGTAACAAACAAAAATGGGCACTATTGTCAAGGAGACAGGAAAAAGGCTGTTTTCACTGGATGCTCGGTAAGAAAAGGAGTCGCCTTTAAATAGAGGTCCCAAAGGAAGGTGTTTCCCATTTGATATTTTTGCAAAAAATTGTTGTGTAATGCAAGATGATCACTCCGTGTTGTTGGGCACATGGTGACTGGCATTATGGTCTGCACTATAATCAGTCCATTATTTTTATGTAATAGTGTGTACATGTCTGTGAAAATCTGGCATGGGAGAAGCAAGTTAGTGCAAAAAAGAAAAAACCCCAACAAAAGCAAAATCCAAACGTACTGCAGAACAAATATTGCTGGTTGCAAATTGGAAGTTACTTGTTCTTTTGGTGGATTGAAGCAGTTGGCATTAGTACTTTAATTTGTGATGCAGTCTCCTAAATTTCTTATCGTTGGAGTGCCCTTTTTTGGGGAGGGGGCATCACATGTGAAAGAATTCTTAAATATCTCGGTTTAGGTAAAATATAGTAACTAAACTATTTTTTATATTTTTATGGAAAAAGTAGTGTGCAGAATTACTTTTGAATAAACTGTGCTTATTTAAATGTTTGAAAATATGTATGTTGTGTGTTTTGGTCTGTAATCAGTACTGTGTTTTACAGAACACTCTGCAGACTGTAAATAAAATTACCAGAAAATTGTTTAAGTCTTCTTGAGTGAATGTACCATTTAATGGGAAGAGTTAATAAATTATTAAACGGTAGTTGCAAAGTTCATGCTTACTGCAAATCCAGATGAGTGATACAGTAATGGTTACGCATGTGTGTGGAAGTGCTTTGGAATACAGGACTCTAGGGGGGTTCAGGGCCATCTCGGCGGTCGCAGCGAGCCACGCGCCAGGACTGAAGCAGGTGTGGTGGTCAGCTTGCTGTCGGTGACCTCTGCCTTGGAGGGGGACGCTGGAAGGGGCGTGTGGAGTCCCCGGAGGGGAGGGGGTGGTGGGGTTGTGCGGGAGGCCCGCCGTGAGAACAGGCGGGTGTTCAGAGGGGAGGGGATGGTGATGGAGGCTCAGCTGCCTTGACCATCCCGTAAAGAACGTTTTGTACATTTGCTTCTTTAATGCTGCTGGCGTTTGTGCGTAGATGGTTTCATCACAAGTGTGCTGCTGCACACAAGTGTATTGCTTCTCCCAATCTCTGCCAAGGAAAGAGAAGCTTGTTAGCTGCTGAGCACCAAGGCTCGTCGTTGCGTTCGGAGGGCTGCTCCCTTCACACATCTGTTAATGTTTGGTGGCTGCAGTGAGGGAGACTGGTCCGTTCAGACAGACAGAAGGAAACGCTCGCGTACGTTAGGTTCTGTCAGCAGGAGCTAGGGTAAGGTGACATGATGACAGATGATACGCAGGGGGCCTTAATGTAACTTCTGGTCCGCTGTTGGCTCCTGAGTGGAGATTCAAGGAGATGGCTTACTGCTTTTACTGGGTATCTGATGTTGCCAACCGCTGATTAAGTCCGAGACCAATCATCAGTCCCTCCGTACTCAGATTTAAAAAAAAAAAAGTTTAATTTCAAAGACAATCTTTTTAATTGCCCTTTCTGTTTAATTTGTTTCTATGTATTCTTAATTTACAGAGTAAAACCCATGAGCCTGCCAAGAGCCTTACCTGTTCATATTTCACTAGATCACATGCTCATTTCTTACTGGATGCTTTGATTCAAACGTTTTTCCAACAGGAAAGGTATTTCTTTAATTGTTGTCTTCCAAAACTCTAGGTTAGTACAAAAGATCATTATTTAAAAAAAAAAAGTCATTAACTAGAAATTGTACCTAGCGTGAGACCTGTGTAGCTCTGAACAGCCGCAGTTTAATCCTTCCAATTACAAGTAAAGCCGCGATTGCTAATTGAAGGGAAGCGATTGATGCAGTCTGGTAGAAAAATGGCCTCGGGAAAAGGCATCCCATTTCAAGGAGAAACACCGGGACCTGGTGGGAGAGCAGCAGCAGGGAGAGCCAGCCTCATCTTCCAGTCCAGGCCTGTATGAGATGCAACATCTGTCAGTCAGAAAGGTTTTTGGGTGCCCGCAATGGAATTGCATTATACAGTCTTTTGTGGATTGACTGTTTTTTTTTAGGGAGGAGTCCTTAATAAATAGGACTTTTGCTATCAAATGGATTTGCTTTATAAGGAAATGATTCAACATGCCTTAACTCCATGGGCTTAATTTGCTTTATGGAATTGTATTTATCCGAGCTCTGCCTTTATCCAGGCCCTGGGACACCAGTTGTGTCTGAGGCAGATCTTCGCAGCCGAATTGTGTTATCAAGACGTGTAAGGGGGGGGGGAGGAGCAACACAAAATATAATACCAAAATATAAGTTTGACTTCTGAGATTAGATATATCAAAAATGTCACTGGCAGAACCGTAATTTTAGAAACATCATGGAAACGTGACAGGAACACGGTATTTTTATATTTTCCTGTTTCTTTCCGTTCCGTACAGGACAGTCTTACTTTCCCAGAGAAGCTGCCTGTGCCTTCCCCGCCCACATGAAGTAGGGAATTGTTGCTACCTCTAATTTTCAGGTAGGTTGGCATTCCACCCCAGTTCGATCGTGTTTTGCTGTAGTGTTGGTCACACTTCAGTGCCGCAACAAACGTCAGATTGAGCGCCAGTTGAAATAGTTACGGGCTGTCTAGATGGGCTCTGGACCCAGAACTGTGTCTTTGTGCAGCGTTTTCATATGAAGGGCCTCTGCAACCACAGCGTGGCACCTGGTAGACCATGTCATAGTATTCTTTTAAAAGATTTAGATTCTGGAGTTTGCTACGCTTACGCAAAAAAAAATAATGGGTGGGGGTTTGGTTTTTTGCACTGTTCTGCTGCACTTTGGGTGTATTTTGAGCAAGTAACAGAGTATTTTTAAGATATGAACAGAAAGTGGAACCATGTTCTAGTACGTTTCAAAGTCAGTTTATATGGAAGTAGTAGTCTGTGTTTAAATTGAAAATGTTGATATAGTTGTAGGGTTTTTTAAAAATAGCCTCCCTTGGAGATGATTTTACAGCCCCTGTTGGAAGCGTGGGTACCGCTGCGCGTGACGGGGCCGTCCCGTGAAGCTCCCCGGGGTCCGTGGAGCCGCGAG